TTCTTCCATCGTCCATGTCCACCTGGCCTTGCTCTGAAGGGCACACAGTGCAGTGGAAAGTGCAAGGGCTCAGGAGACAGGAGATCTGTGCTCAGATGTCTGCTGAGAGCCTGGGAGTGTGGCTTAAATGGTAGAGCACTACCTAGCAAGCATGAGGCCCTGAGTTCAATCCCCAGTACCGCCACAAACAAGATCAAAAACAAAAATGCTCTTCCACATGTCTGCCCAGTTCATCCTCAACTGTGAAACTGTGGGCAAGTTTCTCAGCACCCCTGAGCCTTACTGTTCTCACCTGTACAATGGGAGGATACACCTGCCCATCAGGGCTATTGCGGGGACTGAATTAGGTGAGGCACGCAGAGAGAAGGGCTGGCACAGAGCAGGCGTGTGGCACCTGGTACCCCAGTTTTAGGCCACCCACAGTTGTGACCTTCTCCATGAAGTATCCTCTGAGCATTCTCCACACATTCCTGCCCCACCCAAGGCTGCCCTCTCCCTTGAGGACCTGTCCTCCTGCCTTGTTTTTTTTTTTAATTGAAATACAGTTCGCATCCCAGAAAATTCATCTTTTAAAATGAACAAGTCAGTGGTTTTAGTAGTCACGATGTTGTATAGCCATCGGCACTAATTCCTGAGCATTTTTATCATCCCCAGAAGAAACCCCACACCCAATAGCAGGCACTCCCCAGTCCCCTCCTGCTAGCCCCTGGAAGCCACTAATTTACTTTCTATCTCTGCAAAACAGCCTACTCTAGACATTTCACATGAATGAACTCATATCATGGTGTCCCTTTGTGCCTGGCTCCCTTCCTTAAGTATGATCTTTTCAAGCTTTGTCCATGTTGCAGCGTGTGTCAAGACATCATTCCTTTTAATGGCTGAGTAATATTCCATTACATGAATATATTACATTTTGTTTATTCATTCACTCATTGAGAGACATTTGGGTATTTCTACTTTTTGGCTATTATGAAAATGCTTCTGTGAATATTTGAGTACAAGTTTCAGTGTGAGCATGTGTTTTTGGCTCTTTTAACTATGTATGAGTGAGTTTGCTGAGTCATACGATAACTCTAAGTTTGAATCTTTGAGAAGCTGCCAGGCTGTTTTCCAAAGAAGCTGTACCACTTCGCATTCCCATCAGCAACGTGTGAGGATTCTAACTTCTCCACACCCTTACCAAGACTAGTTATTTTACGTCATTATTATTATTGTGCTAGGTGTAGTTCTATTTTTAATTTTATTGAGGACCTTTATACTGTTTTCTAGAATGATTGTACTAATTTAAATTCCCACCAACAATGTAAAAAGGTTCTCTTTTCTCCATGTCCTTACAGACACTATTTGTCCTTTCCTCCCTCACCCTCCACTTCTTTAAATTTCTTCCTAAATATTTTATTTATTTGGATGCTATTACAAATGGAATTGTTTGCTTAAATTCCTTTTGGGATAGTCTGTTGTCATTGTATAGAAATGCAATTGATTCTCGTATGCTGAGTCTGCACCCTACAACTTTACTGACTTTACTAGTTACGACAATTCTTCTGTAGAGTCTTTTGGGTTTCCGACATACAGGATCATGTCATACAAACAGACTTAAGTTTTGTTACTTCCTCTGGTTCTGAGGCCTTTTATTTCTTCTTCCTGCCTAATTCCTCTGGCTAGGCGTTCTAGCACTGCTTTCAGTAGGCATCCTTGCTTTGTCCTGATCCTAAAGGAAACCCGTCAATTTTTCACTGACTGAGGCAGGAAGGAGGGACTTTCACCTATGGCCTTCATGGAAGTGAGATAAGTTCCTCCTATGCCTAACTTGCTCAGAACTTTGGTTATGAAAGGCTGTTAAATTTTATCACAGGCTTTCTCTGCATTATTGAGCTAATCGTGGGCTTTTTATCCTCTGTCTGATTGGCACATTGGTGATTTGCCTGACTCCTAGGCTAAATCCCACTTGGTCATTGACACAATGCCCTTAATGTGCTGTTGAATTTACACATTGCTGAAGACTCTTAGACACCTGTTCTTCAGATACTTTAATATAGCCTTCAGTTTTCTTTTCTTGTGATACCGTTTTCTGGCTTTAGGGTCAACATAACGCTAGCCTTATAAAGTGAGTTTAGAATATTTCTGAAAGTAGTTTTAGGACCCAGGCCCAAACTCCAGGGGTTCCACATGTTAAGTCCAGCTACTCACCACAACACACCACACAAAGAGACGGGTAATGGTGAAGGGCAGAGAAAAGAGGTTTAACACACTGCCCAGGACACTGCTGGAAGAGGCAAAGTAAGCACTCAGCCCATTTTCAGCCACCTCAGGGTACGGACATGAAGTTCAGCTTTAAATAGACAAAAAAATTGAGGCAGATGGGAGAGATGTGTGTGACTATTTGCCCAGTCTTAGTCTCAGGTGTGTTTTGGTGGATCGTTACCTTAGTCCTGATTTGGGGAGGGGTTCTGGAGAACACGTCACTGTTGCCTGGCAGATGGTCTGCTCTGCCAGTCTTTGCAGTTCCTTTCCTTGGGGGCACCCCTCCAGATGAACATGTCATTGGTACATCCTGTCCTTCCTGGATTTCAAGGTCGCTGCAAGAGAAAATGGCTCAGCGTAAAGGACACAGATACCAGATGGAGGCAGGTTGGCAATTCTCCTGCTTTTAGTTAATTTGTGGGCCCAAGTAAGGCATCAGGGCTTTTCAGCAAAAGCAGTTTAAGTACCTGTCACGTTCCCTCTTCTATATTGGGGAAGAGGTTAAGAAGGACTGCTGTTGATTCTCCTTTAAATGTTTGGTATCCTTCGCGTGGAAAGCCGTCTAGTCCTGGGCTTTGCTTTGTTGGGAGATTTTTACTTCTTGACTTAAACGCCTTGTTTGTTATTGGTCTTTACAGGCTATGTATTTGCTTTTGACTTAATCTTAGTAGGTTGTATATTTCCAGGACTCTGTTCACATCCAAATTATACAATTTATTAGCATGGAATTATTGCTAAGAATCCTGACGGTCTTTTTAAACTTCTGTTGTCTCAGTTATACTGTCTCTTCGCTCTCATTTCTGATTTTGTTTGAGTTTTTCTCTTTTTCTTAGTCAGAGTCAGTTTTATGCTTTCAAAAGTTTGGCTCATGGTCTTTGATGTTTCTATTGTGTTCTCTATCTCACTTATCTGTGCTCTAGCCTTTGTTATTTCCTTCCTTCTGCTAGTTTTGAATTTAGTTTTCCTTTCTTTGTCTAATTCCTCAAGGTCTAAGATTATTCGATCTCTTTCCTCCTTTTTAACCTAAGCACCTGCCATTAAGGACTTCACTCTCAGCAGGGTTGTCATTGCATGCCAGAGGTTTTGTTGCACTGTGTTTTCATTTTCATTTGTTTCAGGATATATTCTGATTTCCCTTCTGAGTTTTTGTTTGGCCCAATTGTTATTCGAGAGTGTGCTGTTTAATTTCAGTGCATTTTGTCATGTCTTTTTCATTTTCTTTTTTGTTACTAATTCGAGTTTCATTCCATTGTGGTTGGAAAAGACACTTGGAATGATTTCGACCTGCTTAAATTTGTTAAGACTTCTTTTGTGACCTAGAATGTGATCTAATCTGGAGCGTGTCTCGTTTGAGCTTGAGAAGAATGTGTGTTCTGCTGCTGGTGGTTGGAATGTCTGTGTACATCCGTTAGGCCACTTGGTCTGCAGTGTGGTTCAGGTCTACTGTTTCTTTGTTGTTTTTCTGTCTGGACAATGTATCCACTATTGAAAATGGAGTATCCAAGACTCTATTGTTTCTGTATGACATTTCCCCTTTTAGATGGTCAGTATTTGCTCTATATATTTAGGTGATTTGATATTAGGTCTCTCTACCACCATCACCATCACTTCATAATGGCCTTTTTTGACTCTCCTGATCATTTCTGACTTAGAGTCAACTTTGTCATTCCTTTTGATTCACCCCTGCTGTCTTTAGGTTACCAAGTGTACAGAATAGCTTATCTTTTTTCGTTACTTCATCTTCATTCTTTGTGTGTTCTTAAATCTAATGTGAATCTCTCTCTGTCTCTCTCTCTCTCCTTCTCTTTCTCTGTCTCTCTCACCTGAGGCTTGAACTCATGGCTTCACATTTGTAAATGAGGAACTCTACCACTTGAACCACATCTCCAGTCCATTTTGCTGTGGTTATTTTGGACATGGTGACTCATGAATTATATGCATAGCCTGGCCTCAAACCTCAATCCTCCCAATCTCAGACTCCTAAGTAGCTAGGATTATAGACATGAGTCACTAGTGCCTGGCAAGGTGAATCTCTTGTAGACAGCAACAGTTGGATCTTGTTTTTGTCATTCATTCAGCTACTCTGCATCTTTTGATTGCTTAATTTATCTGTTTACATTTAAAGTAATTATTCTTAGGTAAGGAATTACTATTGTCATTTTGTTAATTGTTGTGTTAGTCAGATTTATATCAGTGTGACAAATAACACAAGACAATCAACTTATAAGGAGGAAATAATTCATTTTGGCTCTTGGTTTCTGAGGTTTCATTTCCAAGTTGGCCCATTCACTTCTGGACCTGTGCTGAGGCAATACTTCATGGTAACAGGAATACGTGGCAGAGGAAGTCTCTTTGCCTCAAGGCATCCAGGAAACAAAGAAAGAGGGAGGGCCAGAGTTCCAATATCCACTTGAAGATCACACCTCCAATGACCCAGCTTCTACCACCTCCCCAGAGTGGCACGGGCTGGCCACCGAGCCTTTAGGATATGGGATCTGAGGGAAAATTTAAGATCTAAGCCACAACAACTATTTTATGCCTTATAATTCTTTCTTGCTTCCTTTTTCTCTCCTGCCACTTTTCTTTGTTATTCAATGGTTTGATTATGATATACTTCAATTCTTTTTCTTTTTTTTTTGGTATCTACTGTAAGTTTTTCTGTGTGGTTACCACAAGGCTTGCATAAATCTGTTTATTCTAAATGGATAACAACTTGACTTTAATCATTTACAAAACAAAAAAAACCCTTTAGGGCTGGAAATGTAGCTCAGTGGTAGAGTGCTTGCCTAACATGCATGAGTTCCTGGGTTCAATCCCCAGTATTGCAACAAAACAAAACAAAATCTCTACATTTTTAAACCCCAACATATGACATTTTATGTTACTGATTGATGTGAAAATTCACTACTTTTTATATTGTGTACCTATTAACAAATTTTTGAGGTTATAGTTTTTAATACTTTTTTCTTTAACTTTTATAGTATGGTTAAATTGATGTATGTAAAACCACACCATGTGACATTAGTCTTATTTATCTATATATATTTTACCAATGAAACTTAACTTTCAAATACTTTAAAATTGCTGTTTAGTGCCCTTGCATTTCACCTGAAGTACTGTACTGCCTTAGCACTTTTTGTAAGGTGACAAACTCTCTGAGTTTGTTTTTCTGGGAAATTTTTTAAATCTTCCTTGATTTTAAAATGGAGATTGAGTGGGTTATAGTATTCTTGATTGGCACTTTTTTTCTTCAGCACTTTGAATGTACCATCCCACTCTTCTTTGCTGCAAGGTTTTTTGCTGAGAAAGCTGCTGATAGCCTTACAAATATTCCCTTATATGTGATGAGTCACTTTTCTCTCACTGCTTTCAAAATTCTCTCTTCTAGAAGGCTGGGAAGTTGGGCACTCACTTTGCACTTTGCCTCTGCTTTCCACACAGGTGCACTCATGGGCCAAGAGAATGTCAGCAGTGCTGCATTATGCAGATCCACAGAGGAGGCAATGCAGGTCAAGTGAAACTATTATTACCTTTCTTTGGTATTTTTTTTCTCATGTATGTGCTCCACCCAGATGCTACAGCCTGCATTCTAGTGCTCTTATAAAGGTACATCTGTTCAACTGGCACCATTTGTTGGAAAGATCATTCTTAGCCCCATTGAATTTTCTTGACACCATTTTTAAGTCATAAATGTAAGTACTCTATTAATCTATATGTCTGTTCTTACACCAGTATCATACTCTTGGTTACTGTCATTTTGTAGTAAGTTTTGAAATCAGGAAGTATGAGCCCTCTAATTTTCTTTTTTCTTTTTCAGGATTATTTTGGCTATTGTGAGTGCTTACTCTCCCAAATAAATTTTAGGATCAGTTAGTCAGTGTCTGAAATAAGCTGTATAGAACTTGATAGGAAGTGCATTCAGCCTATTTCAGTTTAGGGAGTATTGCCACTTTAATAACATTAACTCTTTTAATTTGTAGACAGGAGATGTCTTTACATTCATTTGGGACTTTCTTAATTTCTTTCAGTTATGTTTTGTAGTTTCCAGATAACAAGCCTATACTTCTTTTGTTAGAATTTTTCTTATGTATTTTTCCTGTTTATTTTGTAATTTCATATTGCAAATGAAATAGTTTTCTTAATTTCATTTTTGTTTGCTCCATATTGCTGCTCAGAAATACAAATGGTTATTATCTGTTAATTTTGTACCCCGCAATTGTGCTGAGCTCACATTTTAGTTCCAATGGTGTGTGCTCCAGTATTTTCTACACACAGGAACATATAAATTGTAAATAGGGATTTTTTTCCCTTAATGATCCAAATGCCCTCATTTCCATTTCTTGCTTAATTTCCCTGGCCAAAGCTGTCAGTATAATGTTGAGCAGCAGTGGGGAAAGTAGCATTCTTGTCTTATTCCAGACCTTCAGGGGAAAGCTTTTAGTTTTGTGTCACTAGACATAATGTAAGCTGTGGGGTTTTTCATAACAATTTATTAGCTTGAGAAAGTACTCTTCTCTCTCGAGTTTGTTGAATAAAACAACATGAAAAGGAATTGTAAAAGGGTATCGGATTTTGTCACATTCTTTTATGTGTCTATTGTGATGACCGTTTGTGTTATCCTTTATTCTGTGTTACATTGATCAACTTTTGGATGTCAAAGCAACATGGCATTCCTTGGATAAATCTCACATTGTTTTGTAGTGTATGATCCTTTTTATATATTGTTGGCTTTGATTTACTTGCGTTGTGTGAAGTATTTTATTTATTTATTTATTTATTTATTTGCAGTATTGGGAATTGAACCCAGGGCCTCTTTCTTGCTAGACAAATGCTCTACTGATTGAGCCATGCCTCCAGCCCTTTTGTTTTTATTTTCTTTTTGAGATAGTCTTGATAACTTTACCTGGGCTGGTCTAGAACTCATAATACTCCTGCCTCCACTTCTTGAATACCTGGGATTACAGGCACACGCTACCCCTCCCAGCCTTGTGGAAGGTTTTTATATTAATTTTAGACATAAAATTAATAATTTATTAATATTAGTAAAAATATTAATCTACAGTTTTATTTTGCTGTGATGTCTTTGGTATCCTCGTAATACATGAAATAAGTTGGAAGGTATTTATTCCTCTTCTAGTTTTTGGAAGGTTTTGTGGCTGATTAGCATTAATTCTTCTTTATGGTTTAAGTAAGAATTTACAGTGAAGCCATCTGACCCTGGACTTTTATTTGTCACAAGCATATTGCTATTGTTAATATAGCTTTATCCAGATTTACTATTTTTTCTCAGGTCAATTTCAGTATGTCTTTCTAGCAATTTTCACATTTCATCTAGGCTACCAAATTTTGGGGCATGTGATTGTTTAGTGTATTCCCTTGTCTTTTTTTATTTTTGTAAGGTTGGTATTGGTATTCTCTCTGACTTTAGTAAATTGAGTCTCCTCTCTGGTTTTTTTTGTTGTTTGTTGTTGTTGTTGTTTTTCTTTTTTTTTTTTTTTTTTGGTGAGTCTTGCTAAAAGGTGGTCAATTCTGTTGATCTTTAAAAAGAGCCAAATTCACTGTTACTAGTTTTCTCTATTCTTCTATTCACTATATCATAATTTCACCTCTCCTTTTTATGGTATGCTTTCTTATACTGGCTTTGGGTTTCATTTACTCTCTTTCTAGTGCCTCAAGATTGAAGTTTAGGTTATTGCCTTGAGACCTTTCTTCTTTTTATTATTGGTATTTATAGCCATAAAAGCTCCTCAAAGTAGTTCTTTAACTGCATCCTATAAATGTTGGAGCACTTCAACACACACACACCCCTCCCCTTGGAAAAGATGGGTGCCCAGGGCTTTCTGTGGACATCTAATTCCCCAGCTTTTCTTTTTAAGCTTTTTGATTCCTTATTGTTTTAGCAAATTGTTATCAACAGCCTGGGGATGTCATGAAGCTAAATATCTGCCTATAAATGTTTCCAAACATGCTGTAGGGAAAAATGCTTTTTTTGTACCAAGACAACTCAAGTCAGGTCAAAGAAGGCCAGCCTTGCAAGTGGGGTCTTCCAGTGGACCATCGACAGGTCACTTGATGACAATTCTTTGGGGGGCAGGCTTTGAAGTCATGCCCACCCGTGGCTCCCCTTGTCTGCTGACCAGCTCATTTTCACCTTAGATGTAAAGAGCTGGTCTTCAAAACCCACCATGGAAAGGAGAGAGGGGTGTGGGAATAGAGTAGGTTAAAGCGCTACATAAACTTTTTCTTCTTATCAAGATTCATTATTTTTCTTGAATAAATGCTCCTAGAATTGTTGCAAGTCTTGGTTCAGTTCCAGAATTCTAAGGACAATACTGCTAATTTTTGCTAGTTTTCTCATTATTTTTGGAAGTCCTCACTCTGCCATCTTCACAACATTATTCTACTACCTTTGACAGGGATTCCTTCCCCTAGTGTCCTTGCGGAGGCCTGAGGCAAAGCCCACTGGGTGGCCAGAGGCAACTTTCTAAATTCTTCTTGGTTTCTTGTTCTGTAGCTGTAAAAAGAAATGTTAGACAAAGATGATCTCAGAGGGCTTTCTTGCTTAAAATATCCTGGGTGCCTTGCCTCGAGGCAGCCTCAAAACAGAGCAAATCTTTTTATTCTCAGCATTCTCTAAGACTTTCAACATTCTTTTCTACAACCCAGGTAGAAGTCAAGACCCAGAAGCCCACACACCTATGCCAACACATGTATTCACATGCCTTACACAGAGAGCTGGGATTCCATCAAACAATAGCAACTGCTCCAGGCATGCACTCCGGTTTTTCTATCCTGCCTTATTTCTTTAAAAAAAAACATGATGTTTGTGGGCCACTAAATGGCTCCCTGGATCCACTAATACATCATCATGTGCAAGTTGAAAATCCCAGCCCTAAAGGCACACAGGTGCTGACTTGAGCTAAGTGGGAGAATAAATGTCCTACAGAAGAGTGGGGAGGGGGACTGAAGGGTGCACATGGGAGCCTCATGCTGAGACTTGAAAGCATTGGTCTTGATGACAGTGCTGATTTGGAGGCCCAGAGGGAGAGGCATGTTAAAGCATTGGGACTGAGGCTCCATGGTGCCCCTGGAGCTCTGGGAAAATAGCTGTGGCACTGCCCGCATTCTCCCCTGTGCGTTTTCAGACATGGAACCTGCCTGACCCCTTTTCCTAAACTATGAAGAGAATTGTGCTCCCTCTCTTAAATTCCTATGCTAAAACCCTAACCCCCAATGTCATGAGGGTTATGAGGTTGGACCCTCATGATGGGTTTAGTGTCTTCATACAAAAAGCTGTAAGACTCCTGCCCCCTTCCCACTTCCCACTGTGTGAGTACACAAAATGAGTGTGGTCATCCACAGCCAGGAGAAGTGCCCTCACCAGGAACCAACCCACTGGGCCTTGATACTGAACTTCCAAGCTCCCAGAGCCATGAGAAAGATATTTCTATTGTTTGAGCCACCCTATCTATGATGTTTTGTTATAGCAGCTCAGGTTGACTGATACATCCACCCAATCTGAAATTCCCAGACACACCGAGATACCTGGTCTGGACAAGAATAATTCTTTGAGCCATTCAGCAAAACCACCACAGTGTGCTAGCCACTGAGAGATACATGGTGAAGGAGGTTTCGCTTGCTCCACGACTGTACATGTGGGAAGCATTCCCTTCTATTTTATAAAGCTCTTTCATGGTGTAAAGTACAGGCTCTACCATCAAGACATATGTGAGGCAGGATGGGAAGGCTCTTCTGACCCATTCAGCAAAACTGGGGAGTTAGTGCAGTGGCAGAACCTCCATGGGTATCACTCACAGAAGTCCAAGTT